AGAACTAAATCCCTTTCTTCTCAACAACTCATAGTTACTCTCTGTTCATTAACCCATGGAGGAACTGATCTGCCTTCTTGGGAGTATCCTGTCTTTTGATCATTGTAATCAAAGAGGTTTTATGCAAGAACTCAGAACATTAGATTGGTTAGAAAAATGGATGTAATTCTACACACACGCTCCCCACCCCATCCTGTATCAATGTGATTCTGTCTCTCTTCCCATCAAGAAGTAGAGTCTATGAGCCAGCTGGTGGTTAAGAAGGCTGGATCCCACATAACGGACTGTGGCTCAAATCCCAAACCCAGTGGCTTGAGAGACACACTGGGCATGTGTGCATGCATGTTCAAAATCCCAGAAGGAGGGAAAAACAAAGGAGAAGGGGTTGCAGCATGATCATCCCCCTACAGAATGCTTTCCTCACTTTTCCTCTCCATCTCAAGTGCTGTACCTCCTAGCAAGATATTTATAATAAAGTCTATTTCTTTATCCCTTGAATTTGAATTAGGCTTGTGACTTGCTTTTACATAGAATGTGACAGATGTGATAGGGTACCCATTCCAAGTTTAGGTCTTTAGAGACCTTGCACATTTCTCTCTCTTACAGAAATACTACTACTTTATACATAAACCGAGGCTAGATTGCTGGATAATGAAAGACACATGGACTGGACACCCATTGACTTAGCTGATAACCAGTAAATTACAAGATATGTGAGGTCATTGTAGACCAGCCAGTCCCAGAAACAATTAACTGGTACACACAGAATGATTAAAAGCCATTTTCCACTCTGGTCAATAACTCCAATAGCTATATTCTATCTTCCATCAGACTAGTTACTCAATTTCATGTTTTAGAAGGTCTAAAAGGGAAAAATAACCAAGTCTTCATATTTTTCTTGACACAAATCTTGAGTATAGGTTCAAAAGAATCAATTTACTTGAAAAATTGATTCTTTCCCATCTTCCTACCAATAAGAAGCAATTGATAACAGAAATATTGGAGAGTTATAGTTGTCAGCTCAAAGGCTCACTGAGCTGCTTAATACTAAGAAGAGTGTGCATGCTCATACACATTTGCAAATTGACAACAACGTAAAGAGCTGAGTTAATACACAATGTCAGAATACTGTGTCACTATTATGGTAATGTTTATTAGTTAGAATGAGATTCAGCAGTAAAAAAAAGCACCTCCCTCCCTGACAGTAGCTTAAATAGGTTTGCAGTTTATTTCTTGCATCAATATCAAGGAAAGCCATTCAGGACGTGGTGACTCATAATACCAAGAATCCAGACTTTTTTCTATCTGGTTGCACTGCTGTAAGTGGCCTTGATTCCATGAGCCAAGCTGGTGGTATGTGCATTCCAAGCAGCAAGATGCAAGAAAGGAAAAAGGCCCCCACACCCAAACCCTCATAACACATACCAACATACACAACACAATACTAATCCTATTATCTTAGTCAATTAGCCTCCAACCATAGCTAGCTTCAAGGAAGCTCATAAAGGGAATCTTTACTTTGAGAGGCCATTTGCTCAGCTTAAAGATGGGATTGGCATGGAATTTAGAAGACAACTAGCAGTCTGTCATAAAATGCTTAATAACATATTATGAGTTTCTACTATGTATCAGTAAAGGCATCTTTTAACTTTCAAATCAGCTGGGTTCTCTATTATGTTTATCTGTTATTTGTAACTTGAGAAGCAATTTGTCACATAAAGATTTCTGATGGCTATTTTTCAAGACCAATAAATAGAACCTACTTTAGTGTATCATATCCTTGAAATATAGTATTTTTTAAAATCTAAACTCAATGATCCCTCATTTCACCATGGTGAGGAAAAAACATGAGGGGATGTCAAAAAGTTTGCAGAAAAATGGATTAGAGTATGAGTTTGGGTGCAAAAAAAAAAAAAAAAAACATTGAAATCCCCATCACCGGCTCATATGCATGTTGGTAAACTCTTTGAAGACTCCCTGTATATTCTAAATGATTGCAGGTTGTGGTCTTTATCTCAGGAGCAGGGAGGTACCTCATGAAATAGCAAAGGCTAAAGAGAAATGGGGAACATTTAGGCCATGAGGATGCCAACATTTGCATCAGAGAAGAAAAATCTTCCTTTCCAGTGCACTAGTCATTCTCTAAGGTCCTGACTTGGGGAATACATGGCCCTAGTATAGAATGACAGATCAAGACTACACTTTGGGGGTGTGTGTGCGTGTGTATTTTAAAGATTTAATTTTATTATTACTATCTTAATTTGCTGTAGGGCACATGTGCGAGTGAGCGAGTGAAACAGAAAGCTACAAAGCAAGCCATCAGATCCAGAACTTGAACTGAGGTCAGCGGTGTGGGAGTCCAACACCCTTAACCACCACGTCACCTGCTGTCCCTTCACTTTAGTATATTCTAATCTGCTCATGACTTGTTTTTAGAGGGGACTGTGCCCCTGGAGACCATGTTGCCCAAGATATACTTACAAGATACATGAAGGACAGTGTTCAGCTGTCCAGGAGCCCCAGTTTCAGGTTTCACTAAAGGCCCGCAGGAACACTCAGCCTCCCATGAAGGCCAGTCTTTGACCAAGTCCACAATTAACCTTACCTGAGGGGTTCCTGCCTTTGTGTGTGATAAGCACATCTACACTCTAGAAACACAGGTGCAAAAAAAAAAAAAAAAAAAAAAAAAAAAAAAAAAAAAAAAAAAACAAAGCAGGACAGAGTGAAATTTGAAAATTCATAGCAGTTAAATTCTGTCGGTTTATAGACATCTAAATCATTGGGGACATGGACCATGAGGCATTTCCAACACAGAAATCTCTGGAATGATTTAATTTGGCAGTTGACGTTGCTTTTTGCTCCCATCAAGCAGTTCGCTATTGCTGACAGATGTCTTTCCTGATTATCACTGGGAGCCCTACTACTTTGAAAGCTATTGATTAATGCATCTGTCTTCCAGCCTTGGAAACCTTTTCAGTAGGCTGCTTGGGAGAGTTGATTAAAAAGTCTCCCTATTTTCAAGCTCTCTGAAAACCCATATTAGGCTATGCAGACCATCTGGGGGAAAGAAATGAAGGTTTGCAGGGACAGTATTTAAATGAGCCTAACCTTTTTTGGTGTAATTTTCAGAAATTAGCCTTGCTAGCTGGCCAAGTGGATGTGGCCTAATGATGATAAAGCTTTCCTTTTAACTCCCTTTCCAACAGGGAAGGGTTGGGCAGGAGTCTGTGTGTAGAATTTCACATGCAGACTAAGTTTCTTTCAAGAGGCTGGGTTTTAACTCAACTTCTATCACCTCCAAGAACGTCCCAAGATACTTTCTTCGGTTATACACAAAAATGGCTTCTCTTATGCTTTGTTAAATTGGCAGTCATCAGGACAAACCTACCATAACTTCTCCTGCCACTTTCTGTGGTGAGGCTGGAATTCTGTATACACCACCTAAGGACAGGATCAGTCTGCAAGAGCCAGAGGCTCTGAGCAACTGGATGAATAGTGCAAGATTCAGGCCATTTTCAGCAAAGGTAGACCTGTCTTCTCTTCCAAAAGTCAGAGAAGTATTAAAGACCCTACCCAAGCTATTCCTAACCTCTCTCTTTTCCCAAAGGCATTTAATATTATCCAGCAAACCCTGTCCCTAGATTCTGGACAAAAATTTAAGGATATTCAAAATGTATTTTTCATTGAATAGCTAAGGGTTCAGAATGTAGACATCCTTGCATAATGCCTCATACACCAACAAGAGCGGTAAGTTGTTCTGTTCCTTTGGCTGAAAAAGTAGGAATGATGACCAACGTATGTAACAATCCACAAAGCATGGCTGTCATCAATAAAAATAGATACTGGCCTATATGTCAATTCAGTCCATACCACAGAGCATGGGGAAACTCCCTGGTAACCACTGTCCAGGTTGAAAGTCCTTCTTTACTCCCATTTTTAAAAAAAGAAATGAGAGAGAGAGAAAGACAGAGAGAGAGAGAGAGAGAGAGAGAACGAGAACTCTCAATGTTCTCATCATGCTATAATCCCTTTGCCCAGTTCTCTGGCTCTTTGAGATTCTAGGTGCATATACATAGCTGGTGTTTTTCTCAGACGGACCTGGGATCCAAACTGCCATCACCATAGTTTCCAGCACTGCAGGACACTAGCATTACTACTATACATAGTGGCTGGGCCTCATCTTTCTTAAAAAGAGGTTACAACTGATTGTGGCATGTGGCTCTTTCTCTTAGAGGATTCATCCTTCTCTCTTCTGGGGGCCTGAGACACAGTCTCTATAAGACTTGGTGAAGCCAAGAATGTATTTGTGGATTGCAACACACATTCATCATTTGTAGAATGTCTCTTACTTCCAATATCACTGAGACCTAACAATTCTACCTCTGAGGTAGTCCCAACTAATCCTGCTTCCTGTCCCCTGTCAGTTAGGTCAGGCCCTCATCATGTGCTACCTGGATTTGTCGTAACTAGTCTCACTTTGTCGTTCTGTCTGTCTCTCCGGTGAGTGTATGCCCCTTATAGCAAAACTCTCTTAAAGAAAAATAATGCAGCTCTGAGTTCCACCTGCAGGTCTGCTGTAATGTAGCCCAATACCATGGTTAAAAGCTTGGCTGTCAAGCTCACAACTGGATTAAAGTTCCAGCTCTCACTACTAGCTGTGTGTGCCTGTGCATGTGTATAGAGACCTACCTTGGACAAGCTATTTGACTTTTTTGAGCCTTAACTAAAGAATTGGGGATAATAATGCTTTCTTCATAGAGATTGAAAGAATTAAATGAGATCATTTGCATAAAGGACTGAGTTCATAGTAACACTTTCTAAATGGCAGTCATTGTGATTATTCATACAATGATATATGTGGCTCACTCTGTAAAATGTTCTACAGAAATTAATTTCAATTACCCCATGTATAGTTTCACAATACAACTAATTTACAGTATGACTGTTTGTTGATGTACACCATCTAGATCCTGAATACAGACTAAAGAATACCTTCTTACCCAGCTGGCCCATGGCATGGTGGTAAATGCAGCTTGATCCCACGTAGATGACTGAGGGGTTTGAGTGCAAGATCAGTGACTTGAGAAACACACCAGTGGCATGTGCATGCATGCCCAACGCCCTAGGAGGAGGCAAAAATGAAGAAGAAAATGCAGTATGACAATTTTCCCAGGAGTATTTTGTCACTCCCCATCCACTGTCTCTGGCTCTCTTGCTGGCAAGTAAAATAGAATATCAATACCTTCTGCCCCATTTCAAGGTCTCTATTAGCAAACTTGCATTCAGTGTTGATCCGTGTCCTGGGTGGGATGTTTACCTGTTGTTTCCTTTTTCTCCCTCCTTCCTATATAGTACACAAGTGTATATGCTTAAAACGGCCTCGCTTATATCAAGCGCCACACCCAAGTGCTATCCTAGACTTCGTAAACAACCTGCCTGAACCACTCAGATAAACTGCTAACACAAGCCACGATGCACAGAACAAGTCATGATCAATCAAACTGGTAGCAGTGAGTGATAAGAACATATGGCCACAGTAAGACTCTTCTGAGAGCAGCATAAAAACCAGGCTCTCAGACAGCTTCACACCATCCCGCTCTTGGCCATTCCCATGCGTGAAGCAGAGCAGTTGCTGTGCTGGAGCACCTACTACAGTAGAAGCAGCTTACCTCTCTGAGAATCACCAGGACCCTGCCTTGAGGTATCAGTCCAGCCTTGGGCACCTGCACTGTCCCAAGAATGCTTGGTTGCAGCCTTGTGCTGTGCCATGTCACTGGAGGACTTCCTGGGAAAGCCCTCCTGCGTGACAGTGGACCCATTCTAGTGAGGCTTCCAGACAGACTCTTGGTATAGAGCCCCTTTGTGGTGCGACAGGTACTGGCCTTGAGCAGGCTCACTTCTCCCTGTCCTTGCCCTGCTATGCTTGCTTGTGTATTAGGACACTTGATGTGAATGAGGCATTAGCATTGTGGAAGGACACAAATTAAGAGTTGTGGCTAATTTGACAACATGCCACCATTACGACCACAAAGTGCTGGAGTTGGTAGGGACTCCACTGCCAGGTCCAATCCCACTGTCAGACTCCCAGATTCCTATTAACTCCTAGAAAAGCCACAGAGAGAGTCAAGAAGCAGCGCCTGTCCTAGTCACAGCAGTGCACACTACTGTGCTCCACAGGCTGGGGCCACGTGGGAGGCCCCGGTTTTATTCCTGGTCCCAATAAAGGCTAGGCGTGGTATATGTACCTATAAGCCCAGTGACTCAGGGAGGCTGAGGTGGGAGGGTCACAAGCTTGAAGCTGACCCGGTCAACATAGTGAGACCCTGTCTGGTAGAAAGAAAAGCAGTGCCTGGATGGGTGAGAGATGAGTATTTTCTTAAAAGACTGCAGCAAAACCATTCTAGTCACCAAGTCATCACAGATAGCTGTGTTCTTCTGTAGAGTGTCTTTTGATTTGATCTCCATATTTAAAAGATCACATTGAGTCCCAAGCCTGGGTCACCTAACTGCCTCTCCTATGGACTTTGTCCCCCTCAGTACTCCACAGAAAAAAAGAGACCAACAGACTAATCTTGGCAGCTATAGCTAGGTCCAGATTCTCAAAGTGTACTTTCTTTAAAAAAAAAAAGTTTTGTTATAGGGACATGTGTTCGCTGGAAACAGAGAGGCACAGAAAGTAAAAAAATCACCCCCACAGGGGGTATAGCCAAGCTTCAATCCCTTCTCTCACACTCTCCTCTTGGGATTTTGGCTATGCACAAACATGTGCCCAGTATGAGTTTTATGTTGCCAGGTCCAGGATTCAAACCACCATCAGCCATGTGGGAGTCCAGTGCCACAATCACTACACCACCTGCTGGCCTGAAATATACTCATCTTACCCATCTTTTCCCCACATACAACCCTTGCCCTTTTTTGGTGTAGCAAAGCCCCACTGGAAAAAGCTCCACTGGATTTAGAACATGTGGCTATCTTATCTATTTAGAAATGGCCTGGAGATAAAAGCCTTAAGACTCCAGGGAATAGCTATTATCTTTTTTTTTGGGGAGAGATTTTCACTGTAGGGCGCGTGCGTTCGCCAGACAGACAGAGAGAGACATAGAGACAGAAAGCGAGAAATCATCCCCCAGGGGGGATGGTCACGCCGCAATCCCTTCTCCTCCATTCTCCTCTTGGGATCTTGGGCACGCACGCACACGCGCCCGGCGTGAGTTTTAAGCCACCGGGTCCGGGACACGAACTGCGGTCGACTACGTGGGAATCCAGCGACATAGCCATTACGCTAACTGCTGGTTCCCGGAATAGCTATTATCTTTCTGAAAGGCTAATGTTGAAGTTCCCTGGAGAGGAAGACTCAACGCTCCCCAAAGTGATCAAAACCCAGGTGCCCTGAAACAGTGTCAGTGCTATGGAGCTTGCTCTCCTCTTGGGCTTCCTCTGCCTCTGGTTAGAGGAAGTGCTCAGGGGAGGCTCAAGACGAAGCCTTTGCTCCTTAACTCAGACCAGTGCTGAAGAGAGTCATGATGCCCCAGCCAGAGACCTAAGGCTCTCAGTTCCCATCTCTGCATCTCTCCTATCCTTGTATTCTGACTCCTCCCTCCTAGCCGTCACCACTCTCAGCTATGGGACAATCCTGTACTTGGGAGAGTAAACCCAAAGAGCCCATGCAAGCCAGGGGCACCAAGCCTCCTCATTCTTGCCATTTTATACTTCTCATTTTAACTGCCTTCCACATGTTGATTGTGAACGGGTCCCAACCTGTTGTTTCTTTCCATTGCCTGGATAGTTTACCTGATGCTTCAGTTTTAAAGGTGAGGCCTGCCTACCTCCTAAGGACTCTGGTCTCTACCTTAAAACTGGACTGAAAAAAATTCCCCTTCTTCTATATGACATGTGCATATAGGGGCTGGTGTCTACTCCTAGAAACAGGAGAAAAGGCGGTCAGGAAAGAGAAAGGCACTGAAGAAAAAAGTGGAAAGAACATCCCGGGGGAAAAAATGGAGAACCAATAGAGAAATCAGGTGGCCTACTTTTGGGAATCCAGTACTTAGCTCTTCTGTGTCAGGTAGTTTTGAAGGCTTGAACACAATTTGATTTCACCCACCTGAATCTTCCAGGGATCTCCAGGGCTTTGAGATTAAGCAATGTCAGTAGGAAACAAACAGAACACTACACTAAGCATTCCTTGTCAGCTATTACCTTACTTTTAACAGAGTTGTGCACCTGTAAGGCAGTAAGGAGACTCCTAATTACTGCCTGAAGAATGTGTCTAACTCCTTTTCACATCCTCGCCCCCTTTAAAATTTTGCTACAATGCACCCAAGAATGCTCCCAATCACTGTGACATCTTGGTTAATTGAACAGTGCCTCTACAGTTGTGTTTGTTGAGCCTCAGTCACCAAACTGAATTTGATACCAGGATTTTTCCTTCTATATAAAAATTCAATGAGTTTTCTGAGTCTGTTTTTTAAAAGATAGTATATCTTCAACCAATTATAACAATTTTTGTTAAAATTTGAATTCACCACTATCTTTCCTCTTTCTATCACCATTTTTTTCTGGCAAGATTTGCTTCCTACGGCACTCCATTTCTTACCTCTGTTGCTAGTAATCCACTGAGACTTAGGTATGCAAATAGTAATACCAATAGATTGGGGCTGGCAGGTGGCATGGCGGTTGCGGTGCTGGACTCCCACATGGCCAACCGTGGTTCAAGTCCTAGACCTGTTGGCTTGCTTTCTTGCTCTTTCTCGCTCTCTTTTGTGAGTGCATGTGCCCCATAGCAAATTAAAATAATAAATTAAAAAAACAGCTCATATCTACTGAAAACTTCCTATTACAGGCACTGAGCTAAGGGTATTACAGGCATTATTTTATTTTCAGTTTTTCAGTGTCATCTTTTTTTATTAATATTTATAGCAATAAGACAGAATAGATATCCTGGAAAGCTGCTTACTACAAAACACCTAGAATAGATTCATCAAGTATAACAAGCAGCCTTGTAAATACAGACATGGGCTGATGAGAATAAAAAGGAATTTCCTAGGAGCAAAAACTTGGATTTTGATAGCCATTTGAGAGGGAAAAAAAAAAAAAGGATAAGCCTTGAGTCCACTTGAAAGAGCAAACTGAAACTTAAATACCAACTTATTAGAAAAGAAGCAAAGATGGGGACCAGCAGTTGGCATAATGGCTATGTCACTGGACTCCCATGTATTCGACTTCAGTTCAAGTCCCGGATGTGGTGGCTTAAACTCACACTGGGTGCGTGTGTGAGGGGGCCCAAGGTCCCGAGAGGAGAATGGAGAAGGGATTGGGATTGTGGTGTGGCCATGCCCTTTGGGGGAGTGATCTCTCCCTTTTTGTCGATCTGTCTGTCTTTTTGGTGAGCGCATGCACACTATAGCAAAAACCTCTCAAAAAAAGAAAAGCAAATATAAAAATAAACTAACTAAAAATAAATAACCATCAATAGATGGAGAAGGGATTGGGATTGTGGTGTGGCCATGCCCTTTGGGGGAGTGATCTCTCCCTTTTTGTCGATCTGTCTGTCTTTTTGGTGAGCGCATGCACACTATAGCAAAAACCTCTCAAAAAAAGAAAAGCAAATATAAAAATAAACTAACTAAAAATAAATAACCATCAATAGTTGAAGCATCCATGTTGAAAAATTAAAAAACAAAATTCAAAGAGGTTGAACAAAAGAAACGATCAAGGTTAGAATATTAAACACACACACCACCTAAAGCTTAAACCACAAATATGTACCTTAGTAGAAAGAGGGAACTGGGAAATACTCTGGTCCACTGGCAAAGTGAAACAAAGGAATTTGCCTTTCCTGGCCTGGTTCTAGGCTGAGAGCCAGAAGTTTCTCACAGGATTCATAAATAAGCCTCCCCTTGCTTAGGTTGGAGTAAAGAAGCAAGCAAATAAGTGTAAATGAAGTACCTGATTGAGAAGTTCCCTAGAGCACCAGGCAGAAGCAAAAGTAAAACCTCTGACGGGACTTGTCCCCTACACG